AATCTTGTGCTTTCCCTCTTGTTCTTGCTTCTGTCTGAGGTTTTCCCACCAAATAAAAGCATGTTTCTTGAGTTTAAGGGCAATAATTTTGACTTTTTGCGCATCTGGAATCTCCTTGTATTCAAATACTCGTTCAACAGTTTGCAGCCAATCTACAAACTTGTATGGCTGGAGTCTTCCCTCAAATTTAGGAATGTCGACCTTGATATCATTAAGGCAGAATTGTTGTTGTCGTGGACGGCGACAGTTGTTAGTGGATGATGAACTGCTGCTTTCCGAATCTCCCTCTAAGTTTTCTCTGTTGTTGTTTAACAGAGTTCGTTACAATTTCACAGTGGCTTCCAACTCTCGTATCCTACATCTCATCTCTTCCATCTCAACCTCGTGCACATGTCTACATCTTGGAGGCATTTTAGATAGGTGTCAAGGCTAGGGATATAGGAAAGATTGGGGTGCAGCTGGAAACGTTGAAGGATATAGGGGTAGAATGGGATTTTTGGAAAGGCTAAGGGTAAAATGGGAATTTTGGATATTCTAGGGGTAAAATGGAGATTCTAGAAGAATGAGGGGGTCAAATTGTAATTTATGAAAAATATAGGGGTTAAAATGAAATTCAGGTAAAATAAAGGGGTAAAAGTGTAATTTTAAAAAGTTTAGGGGTCAAAATGGAATTTCAAAAAATTTTGGGGTCAATATGAAATTTCATAAAAATTAGGGGAAAATCTAGAATTACTGAAAGATTTAGGGCAAAAATGTAATTTCTAAAAAATTGGCTGACTGGGTGTAGTGATGTGGTGACGATGACACGTGGCAAAGTACTATTGGGCTGACCTGTCGTTGACCGGTCAGATAGATGATGTGGCATATGACGTTAGCGTCTTCAACCTTCGAATGGCGCGTGACGGGGCGTGGATCAGAGGCGAGGCGCGTGGACTTCCGACTGCGGCACGTGACGGCGCGTGGGTTGGTTTTCGGTGACGGGGAACCTCCCGTTCCACATTTTCTGACCTCCTGAACACGATGGTGATGTTACTTTTTCGAGAAAACTCCTGGTTTGCAAAACGCAAAAATGTTAGGGACTCCTCCACTGAATCTCTCTTCTCTCCGGCGTACTTTTTCAACTATAACTCACTCTCTCGCTCTCTGAACTTGGTTCTGATACCAACATGGCACAGAAACCGAATGAAAACAAGCAATTCTTATTCTTTTCAAGTCTACCTCCTTACACAGCCACAAGGGTCCTATTTATAGTTTTGGAATCGTGAAACTAAACCTTACAAATTAAAAAGGAGGTTACAGAAATTAAGGGGAGGTTACAAAGAGTTTATTATGCTCCATTATGTGTCTTTCGTTTCTGCTCTTTCTGTTTCACCTTCTTCATCCTCTTTGTAGCCGCCACTACCGTGGGTAAATAGGGGAGCTCCATCTATCACTCGAATCGTGAGTTCCTCTTGCCTTTATGCTGTCAATTTCCTCTTTTCTTCCCTTAGCTCACTGTTCTTCTCCCTCATCTGGTGCTAGCATGATCTAGGTGCTTCAATGTTTTACTGTGGGAGTTAGTTTGTTGTTGTAAGAGGTTCAGATTGAGGCCGTCCCTCTTCCCCTGCACCACTGTCATTCTTCTTTTGCCTCTGCCATTGGGTCTCTTATTCATCATCTTAACTTGCTTCAAGTGTGTCTGACCCTCTCCCTTTTTCCTTGTTTGTTCTGTTTGTGTGTGTGTTTAATGATGGAGATTGTGGCTTTTCCTAGCTTAGCTACTTTGTACGTTCCAATGGGGAAAGAGAAGTTCAAGCAAATTGACACATGAGTTTTTTAAGCAAGATGAAGAAGTGTGTACTTGAATTTTATTTGAGTTTAATTTGAATGTGTTATATGAATGAAATTTGGGAAAGTAGACTAATTCAAATATGGATATTGGAGAATTTTGAGAACAGTTATTTGGATGAATGGAAGAATTGAAGCTTGGCATTTATTAAGACTGGATGCTTGTGAGATATTCATTGGAATGCCTGTTAGGAGGAGTTGGCATATGATTATAGCTGGGAATACAAGGGAGTTGCCTTTAAGGGTTTGGGTCTTTAAGCTCGATTTTTTATTTTTAACCTTTTTTGGAAGCTTGCTTCTTATGTGAAGGGTTCAGGGTTAGGCTCGAAAGCTCTGTTCCAAAAAAATTAAAATAATTAAAATAAAATTAAATATTATAAATTAATTAAAATATTTTGAAATTAAAAAAATTAAAATTCTCACAATATTTTAAAAATTAGACATCATATTTAAAAATTTAAACCACACACATTCATCAATCAAAATCTAAATTCTCTTCATCCTTATTATTTACAAGTAAAACATTAGATTCCTTCGATATAAGTGCACTTGTTGAAGATAGAGGTGAAAATTTAATGTTAATTACCTTTACAACTTCTTTTTCATTACCTACAATAAATATTAATCAAATTATGCCATTATCAACCGTGCGCGCATAGGACTTATCAGGGTTAGGCTTTCAAGCTCGATTCTTAAAAAAAAAATAATTTTCAAAACTCGAACCCTTATTTAAATAGGGTTTTCAGGCCTAATCCTTATTTTCAGCTCTACATAAGATGACTAAATATGTGTAATAATTTAATCATTGTTGTTTAGAAAATTTTTGAAAGGCACTTTTTTTATAGAAGTTGGAAGTTTGATTATTTCAAATATTGATTTAGGACAACTTTTAGAAAGGGAATTGAATGGGGAAAAAAAACTTGGTCTTATGGTCTAAATATTCTTTAAAATAAATGGTATTTGATAAAATATTTGAAAAGAGGAATTTTGTATTTAAAGGGGAAAAATATATGTTATGCTTATATTATCGTTGACTAAATAATCTTGAAAGGCATTTGTTCCTTACAATAAAAGTTAAGATAGAATTTAGAGGTTTTTGGGAGAGACAGTTGTGTTAGTAATTGAAGAACCAAATTGCTATTTAGACTTTCATTTGGGATATTTTTGGGATGTTTGACGCCATATTAAGAAAGATAAATGTAAAGGTTTTCTTTCTCTTATTTATCTAAGTTGTTTTGGATTAAAGAGTTTGGATGGTAAGGCTTGTTTGAGGAAATGACAATGATATTACTTGAATAATAGAAATTTAAGGACAAAACATTGTTACTAAAAGATTTGTTTGGAAGTAAGTGGTACACTTGGGAGCTCTATAGGTAAGTGTATGACATCTCAATCAATGTATATATTTGCAAATTTATTTTAAATATTATTTGCAACAATTAATAGTTATTAATATATTTTCTAGCATAGATTACTTTTGTTAATTAAATTACTATAGCTCTTGAAGTTATGACAAGTACATGTATTTTTCTTATGAATTATATTTTTAAGATTGATGAAATTACTTTGATTAGTTTTGAAAATTTTGGTTACCAAGTAAATGCAAGAAAGGACATTATTTATAAAATTTTATTTTGATAAGTATTGAATTGATGTTTGAGATGATTCATGTGAGTTTGGTTTTGAGAATGGAAATTTAATTTTAGAAATGACTATTTCCTCGCATGTTTGAAAAGTGATTTTGAGAGGACTTTAAGCATAACATTATTATTAATAGCAGTTCCATTAGCTTAGCCCTTGGCACGCCATGGTTATGACCTGCGTTTGATTTTATGGTTTCAAGCTACGTTTGGTTAATATTATCCTCGTGAATTGTGTCCATTTCTGTTTGTGTAGCTTCAGCTATGTTCAATTACTTACTGTTGTGGATTGTGTGTCTATGTTTGTCTTTGTGATATAAGCCATATTTGGTTATTTACTGTCATCTTCAAGATTTTAAATTTTAAACGATTATTTAAAATTTCAATGGTTTTAGTTAATAAGTGTACATTTATATTCAAATGTAAATTACTTGTTTCCTTAAGCATGAAAGACAAAAGTAATGTTAGTTCATTCTCACTTTATGGTTATGACTTATGATTTTCAAGATTAAGTTAGTAGATTATATTGATTTATTCATTTTTCAATTATTTTACATAATTGTCTGAGTTTCTTTTATTCATTTAAATTTTATTATTGGGACGTTATTCATTAAAAAATTATTTTTAGTCTCAGATAATGTGGATGGCTTTGGACTTTCAGTTGATCATGGAGGGCCATCTTTTGACTTGAAGTGAAGAAGTTATTGACCATCATCCTTTTGATGAAAAAAATTAAATATGAATTTTTGTTTTGTAAATATTATTCTAAGAGCTCCACATAACTATAGTTAAAGCCCTTACATATGTGTTATGCTTGATTTATTTGCTAGAAAGAGCAAAGCTTCTTATTGAATGCTATTTGTTACTAAAAGAATATTTTGTGTAAAAATTTTGAAGTCTTATTCTAAGAGAGGTTATGTTGAATTTTTTTAAAAAATATATTTAAAATTTTTTTGTTTTTATTATTCATATTAAAAATAGTTTGATTTGTTATTAGATATATTTATGGTTTAGAACTTAGGATTTCTTAAGTTAAGACTTTCGAAATATGAGTTTTGTTTTTATATTCCGTGCCAGTCATGCCTTATTTTTAGGACGTGACACATAGTCTCTTTCTTGAGAGATTTGATGTACTGATACATACAACAGAATCCAAACAAAATGAGGGAAGCATAGAGCATGGCAATAGTAGTACAGTGGTTTTAATTTCGCCTTAGCCAATCTCTCTTCCAAGGTTTTATGGTCCGAACTAAAAAATTCTGTGCCAATGAATAAATATTTTTTAAGTATGTAATCTGATATGTTTTGTAGTACAATTCACATAGCCTTAACGGGATAAAATTTATTGTTATTATTGAAGTTGTCATATGATATACTTCAAAGAGAATACAATATTGTTAGAAGTTTGAAAAATGCCCTTATAAGCTCAAATAATTTTTGTAGGAAATCAAAATACCCTTTTAACATGAGATTTTTCCTATTGGGCTGAGAATATAAGACCAAAAATAATCTTTCAAAACTCAATATTTAATTTCAAGGAGAACCAGTTGATGGTAGAAACACCCTTACAAGCCCTTTTGAAGTGATCTTTTCTTCACATATAGGGCATTCACGTTTTGCTTTTAAAGCAGCTTTAATACATTTCTTACAAAATATATGACCACACCTTGTAGACATTTCTTCCACAAATGGTTGCTTACATATTGGACAGTTAAAGACAGGTTCTTTTGGAGGTTCAGGTGACTTTATGTGTGTCTCCCTCTACAAAATAGAACAACTAAAGTAGATTAGCAATTTTAATTCCATAGACACCACCGGCAGTCAACTATTGCATTTGCTCATTCCAACAGTATCTGATATAAAAAAGACTGACAATGACAATTTACATATTATTATTGAGGAAAAAAATTTTTATTTAAAATAAAGAAATAAATAAAAATTTCAAAACTTAGGAAGTATGTAGTATCTTATGACACTACAAAGAAAATCTAGTTATGTGAAGATGATGAATTGCACAAGGAAAAATCATTGTTTATATATTAAATAATAAATATTATTTGAGCATGCCCGTAGAACCCCTGCCAATTTTTACCATCAAAAAGGGTTTTAGATTACTAGATAAAATTACCAAGAGTATACAACCACCTGCTGAGAGAAGAATATGAATTGCAAGACTAAACACATAAAATAAAAAAAAATAAAAAATCTAGTCTTCCAAAACAAAACTGGCATATGTAAAGGAGGAAGACAAATTGGCTTGGGAATAAGTAAAGGGACTCAAGTTCATGAACTCTATCAGAGAGATCTTTGGCAGAATGAATATTCCCAGATTAAGTATCCTTTGAAAAGACTAAAACATCCAAATGAGCCATGCAGCCAAGAAAGATGATATAAATTCAAGATCCTTCAAAAGGTTTGTTCTTCGTCTTGTGTGCTGAGTGGTGTGAATATTTGGGAAGTTGTGATCAGTAATCACAAGCCAATGCAAAGAATTATGGTTTGAGTAAGGAACGAAATTTTTTCTTCACTGAAGTTCTTGTTTCTCTCTTCAAGTTTCTATGAAGTATTTTCAAGCATTTACCACTCGGATTCCAACATATTGCGGGATAAAGCATGACCACTTGGCAATCCGCAATCACAACAACAAGAAGAACAATACATGCTAACAAGAACTGTTTGGTTCAAGATTAGTGTTTACTGTTAGTTCACAACATGCTAATACCTCAGAATTGTTATTGCCTTCCAAGTTTAATGTTAGTTCAAGATTAGGAACTGTTTGGTTCAAAGAATCTCTTCTACGATAGTTGGGAGAAATTTCAGTCCTCTGACTTGCATTATCTGCAATTATCATGAATGAGAAAGAGACTTTAACCACCATGCACCAATCACAGGAAACATGTGTGTGTGTGTGTGTGTGTGTGTGTGTGTTTAAAGTTTTGACAGTAGTAGAGAGCATTTTAACAGTGAAGCACATTTTGAGAGCTTAGCGACTACTAGGTAAAACAGAGTAAACTATTTAGCTGACAACACACTTAACATTTTCCCCTCATTTTAAAAAAATATCACATGGATCAAATATATTATTTTTGGACCCTGATCTTATCCATACCACCAATACGACATCCTAGAATATTCAAAATTCTCAGCGATAAATTCATCAGCAGGTGATCTACCCAGAAGTAAGTAGCAACTGTAATTAACACAAAATTCATTTTGAGCACTCAAGCAGAGTTATATCTAAATGTTATCAAGTAAATCCGACTGGTAAAATTCTTCTTTTGATAATGTTGCATCATCATTGGCAACAGCACAGTGAGAAAATGGCTTCGCAGTCTATGTAGACTGCATATTATGTAAATAGTTATAAAATAAAATAAAAAAAAAAAACCAAGTTCAAACTCAAACTTAAAAAACACAGTACGATCATAAAGTTCCGAAAGAAAATGGGAAAAGAAGAGCAAAAACAAATGTTAGAAAGAACCTGAAGAAAAAAAAAAATCATCAACACCGATTGCAAGATATTAAAAAAAGTGTTCATGAAGCTTCTAAACAAAGAAAAAGGTAGAGTAAACGAATAAGATGCTACCTAAATCCACATCAACTATAGTCCTCCAACGATTTCTTCTCGAGTTATTTCTAGCCTAAATTGAATAAGAAGAATGACATAAATAAGGTTAGCCACCAAAATCAAATATAGAATGACAATATCAGATCAGCACTATATCCAAGGGAAATGTATACCTCATCAAAAGCACTTCGTGTACATTCAATAACATCATCATCTGCAGCCTCCTCATCAAAATCTGCCTGAACTACTCGTCGAGATTCTGATAGAATTGAAGGTCCCTCCTGCTCCTGATGCACATCAGGTGGATCCCTATTAAGATCCAAGTCCAAAACAGCATCCCCTTGCCGATGACGTCCAGGAGAATGGTCCCCAATAGAACTAGTACTCATCTTGTGTACAATATTCCAAAATCCAAATCACACAATCTAAAATAAACCCTATGTCTCATGAAAATATCATTATGCAAATCAATGGCGGGAAAAGATCAAACTTGCTAGGCAGAAGATAATGGACGGGGGGAAAAAAAGCAAAAAAAAAAAAAAAACCACATGATAATTCAAAAAATTGAGAAGCAACGTGCGGATCCAGATGTTCACAATATCGTGAAGGCAACCTCTGCATTGTGGGGCAATTAATTATTAATCATTACATGTAAAGTAATAAGTGTGAAATGATTTGAATTGTTCACAGACACCACAATAAGTCAAAATAGCCCAACAGACTTGGATACCACCAGAAAAAGCAATCCTGAAACCATTCTTGATCAAAACACAAGCTCAATTTACTAAATTTCTAGGTTATAAGCATTTTAAATAATTTATATTCACTGTAGATAAATAAAATCCATAAATCAGACCTAGAATGCTATAGATTCACAATGACACAAGCACCGAATAATGAAGGAAAACTGTTACCAACCATCGAGGCCCTTGGAAAGTAAAGGGCTAAAGGCTGAGGGAGATCATAAAGTGTTGACAGCCTATCTAGAAAAAAAGTTACATGAAAAATCCACTAAGTTAGGATAAATTAAAAAAAAAAAACTTTATTATATGAGAAAAAGGAAAAGTTCCAACGTCTGATATTTGGCAAATTTGTAATACAACTTTCAGTAGAAGGGCAAGAAAAACCACAACTTCCAACTAATTTGTGTATACAATTTTCTTTTGAACATTTAGGAATCAGTATCAAATCATCCCAATGAAAATATCAACTATCCATCCAAAAAGATCGATACACAGTATAATTGACAGGTACATACTATCAAGAATCAGAACCACCAAAGCCATTAGTCACAAGAGAACCATAACCAACACTTCAAAAAACTGTGGCCAATCAACCTGACCAACCACTTGATTAATTCAAGCATGCATTTTCTTTGTCTAAAACCTTTCATTTCAACCATTTTAGAAAATTGATTTGGCCAAGAAAAAGAAAAAGAGTAAAGGACTATAACGGAGAAAGGATAAAACACGAATTGCCAATATCCTGTGCAAAAAGAGAATCACAATGATCAAAATGGACAAGATTAACAAAAGGATAGTAAACATGGACAAGAAAGACTGTGTTTTCAGCACCGATATCCAGAAATGGAGAAAGAAAAAATAAAAACAACAAAACCGAAAATCACAATCGTCAAAAGACCACCGACCGTCTGGACAAATCAAACAAAACCAGAGACGGGAAAAAACCAGAAATTTATTTAAAACTCGAAGGAAGAAAATGAACCTTTAGTTGGAGATTCGAATCGCGTAAAGGGACAAGTCCTCAAAATCTTCACAATCATTCAAATTATAGAGAGAATCTGAATTGTTTTCGGAGCGAGATCATCGTTATTTTTAAAAAATTGACAAGAAAAAAATAATTAACTGAAAGTGGTTAAAATTAATTAAGAATTTTGGTTTCTTCAAAAAAATTATTAAAACTTTCTCTAATTATCTTTAATTAAAATTTATTATTTTCTATATATTCAAGCATACCATCCAAATAAATTAATAAGAAATATGGATATCTTCAAGAATAATTTATAATTTTTTACTAAAATTTATTAAATATTTTGTATTAAAAACGAAACAAACTTTTAAAAACAATACTCTTTTTAGTTTAATATTATAAAATATTCTTAACTAAATTATGCACCAATGAATTAATTAATTATCTTTAAAATTATACACTCTTTTTATGTTTGTGTGTACTTAATATGCTTTTTTAATTAAAAAATTTTATTAATTACATCGATTAATTAAAGGTATTTTTGAAAAAAAAAATCTTATTAATTGAACCTTGAAAAAATCCAAAATGCCTACTGTTTTTGAACATCTTATCTCTCTAGAAATACTTTATATATATATATATATATTTAAATGTAGGAGTGTTTAATATTATAAGACATTTTAAACAAAATTATACCCTAATATTTTTATGTTTACCAAAACTTTATTAATAACACCTATTAATTAAAGGTATTTTAAAAAAATTATCAATTAAATTTTAAAAGATTCAAAAGTCTTATATTTTTAAATATTTTATCTATGAAAAAATATTTTATAATTTTTAACGTAAGATGTATTTTATATTAAAAAATGTAAGGAGTAATAGGTAAGGCAACAAATTAAATTAACAATAAATTAGTGCTTCCGTACATTTACAAATTAACGGCAATGTTTACAATTGCTAGACTTTTTTATATTTGAAATTTTTTTTCTTGCATTTCTATATATTTGATATATTGACGATTATTTCTCAAAGCAAAAATTTTTATTATAATATTTTACTTTAATGTTGACATTATAATAGGTTATGGAAATAAAAACAAAAACAACAATCTTACTTTGATAAATATTATAATTTTTAGTATCATCGGACATAATATTTTTAAGATTTGAATTGTTAGTTTTTTTTTTTTTAACTTCAATGGCATTGTTGTTGTTGGGAATGCTGGCCTAAAATGAATTTGTATTTTTTTGGTCCAACTCCAAATTGACTTTCGATAATCTAAAATGTTATTTTTCTTTCCATAATTTATCTTAATAAGTAAGGTATAAAATTTTTTTACCCTTAAAAAGGCATGAATTATATTGTTGTTAAAGAAATAAATGCCATGGGATGAATTATCAATGAGGATATCTAATTTTGGGAATTGGTAAATTGGGAAAATATCACGCAAAGATACAAACTAAAGTAAAATACTCTTGCTTTCCCTCTATTTTGTCTTAATTATCAATATCTCCCTTATATTTTTAAAACTTATATGAACTTCTTCTATTATAAACAGTTATAAAATAAAAACACCCTCTCTATTTATAAATTTTCATTTTCATCCATTCAATCATTAGTTAATTTTTAAGTTATATATATTGGACTAAAATATCCCTCTTTAGATATAAATGTTGTCTAAAACTTAAATATATTACCCAAAAAAAATTAATGCATGTATAATTATATATTTCTTTTAAATTTATGTTTTAAATTTTATTTTTATAATAGAATACATATTAAATTTTTTGCCTTTTCTCTTTCTACTACTATTAATGTTAAAATCAATTCATATGTAATGACATCTAAATTTTTTATTTCTATTGGATAGATCATAAATAAGTTGATATACCTGGTCTAAAGAATTTCTCCTAATTTCAAGAACTTAATGAAAATATAATAAATAAGTGATTTTGAAATTGAATTATCTATTTAAATATTTTAAATAAAATTTACTTATTATATCTGGAAAAACTCTAACTGTAAATATGTAAATATAATTCCCGGTTTCATAAGTTTTGATGAATTTTTTGGTAAGATGATTAACTCTAATAATTAGATATCATTATTTCAATATATTTCTTTTCCTTATTGCAAGTATGAAAATATTATCCTTGATTTTTACTTTACAGTTTCAATAAATAAATTCAATTCATAAAACTATTGAGCATCATAAAAATCTCACTACAAAAAATTAGATATTCCCATTGGTTCTATATATTTTCACTTTTTGTGTCACTTTCAGTCGACGAATCCAAACTCACTCAGTTATAATATTGGCTCCTCGAACCCTACTAAATCCATCTTTTTGGCAAAACTTGAGATCTTTGAATATTTTTAAATATGCAAAGAGTAAAAATTTAATTAAATTTTATTAAATTAAATAAAATCAAGCAAAGAATGTTTGCATGTTTTTAATCAAATAAATTATAGTATATTCGACAAAAATAAAATCAAGGGAGATGAAAATTAAAATTTTGGATAAAATTAAGGAAATCAAAACCAAATCAAGTTAAGGAATGATTAATGAAAACTAACAAAAATGAAAAGTGACGAGATTAAACTAAAATCAGAGTTAAAGAATGAGAATAAAACTTAACAAACTATTAACAACTAACTATAAAAAACAAATTTACATTCTAAATTCATCAACTCGTTGTTAAGAAAGACAGCAAGCCTTCCATTTGTATTCGAAAATCTCGGAAAATCACAAATGACAGACCCACCTCGGCTTCTTATAACCAAATCCTTCCTCAGTACTGTATCATCAAGCCACAAGCATATACACATTAACGTTCAACGAAAAAATAATAATGGACTTGAAATCTTGCCTTGTTTTCTTGCTTTTGTTCTTGGCCATGGTGGCTAAGGCTTCTTCAACAGATTATGAAGAACACTTTAGCTTAGATATTGCAGAAGGAAACTCTTCTGGAGAAGATGACAATATGACGACGAGGATGGATAACTCTGAATCAAGCCCTAACCCTAACAGACCATCATCACCTGGGGGTTTCCTCAAGTACATTAGCTATGAAGCTCTTAGTGCAAACTCAATCCCATGCAGTTTAAGGGGACAATCATACTATGATTGTCGTAGTAAGATGATAGTCAATCCTTATCGTCGTGGTTGTAGCGCCATTACACGTTGTAGAAGATTGACTGATTAATTTAAGGATCAACATGTACAAGAAAAAGCATCCAACGATAATCTTGACTTAACAATATGTGATGATCCACCTAGTGGATGCAGAAATATCTTGTATTCTAATATGACCGGATAATTTTTCTCCCTGCACAGGTTTCCAATGACCATGTATTAAAAAAAAAAACATATACAAGAGGAAGATCTAACACCAGATGTTGTATTATATAATTGTTTGTATATGGCTTGTGGTTTTATTTACATATTTTCTGATTTGTAATGCCAGTCATGGAGCAAAAAGAAAAGCAAAAGTTATATAAACAATTGTCCAATTTTCATCCATTGGGTGTTCATGTTGAAATGTGAAGTATATAGATAAATATTGATGTTAATTTTTGGATTGATGCTGGTTGCTTTTAATGAGTACGAATTTGTTTGCAGTTTTTGGTTTCTTATCAGAAATTTAAGGGAGAGTTTAATTTAAGGACTAAGGATATGACTTATTCACAGATCAGACCCAATAAAATTTGAATTTACACTACAGGACTAAGAGATTAAATTGAAATAAATTTTTAAATGAAATGACTAAAATACCCTTCAACTAACTTAATCGTGTAAGTTTTCTTAACTTTACTTAATTTTACTTGTTAAATTCGTGACTCTTTCAATTGAATTATATTACTTATTAATTATATAATTTTACTTGTTAATTTTTCAATAAGACTTGTTAATTACTTAATTTTACTTGTTAAATCATTGACTCCCTCAACTAAACTGCATTAATTGTTAGTCACATAATTTCACTTGTTAATTCTATAAACACTTGTTAATTTTATAACTTAACTTCTCAATACTGTATAAAAAAAATGAAGGACATTTTGGTCATTTTTATAAAAAAATTTCAATAAAATATTTGGTCATAAAGTGTAGTTTCAAATTTTATTAGGTCTGATTTTTAAATAATTCACATCCGCACTCCTTAAATAAAATTCTCCCAAAATTTAAAATGGGTCATTTAAGGAACTCATTAGAAGTTTTATAAGTTGTTTGTATAGTTGTTGGGAGTTTTTATATTTTCTTATTTCATATCTTAAAATATTCATAAAATGACGTTTTTGGAGAACAATATATATATATATATATATTTATAGGATTGTGCAGCGATTGTTTAATAATATAAACATTTGAACATTAATAATGGTAAATCTTAGCAAAATAGTGGTTTTGCAGAAACTGGAGGCAAAAGAGATCAATCTTGTGGAGAATTATTATGTCCACATGTGGTATATGCTCCCTCTAAAATAAAATGTAGGGCATTATTGGTAATTGATTCATGGATCTAAAAAAATATTAGCTAAAACTTTAATTTCTTAAAAAAAATTTACACCTTTTTAATTTTACCCTCATTAAATATCCTATATAAGTGCTTTGATAATGATAATTAAATTTTTAATCCATAATTTTTTTCAAAAAGAGTAATAAATGGAGTAAAAATCTAGTTCGAAAAACAATTATAAAAATTATCCAATGTCTTATATTTTAGATCAAGCAAGGCTTCTAAAAGATGCCCTATATTATGATCTAAAGTGAGCAACATATAGGAAAAATGACAACTAAATCCCAAGGGAACCAATTTAATTATTTTATTTAATTCCCAGCTAATAATTTAAGAACACCAACAAAGTTCCTTGCTTTTTTTTTTTTGACAAATCTAACTTATAAAGGATTTAACTTAGAAATGCTTAAGTTGAGTATATGATTAAACTTTAGAGACAGATCATTCGACCATTTCCCTCCCAAGCAACTTCCCACAATTCTATCATTGAGTTATGTGTGTAAGTGAAAAATCAGACACTACAATAGAAAAAGAATAAATGACAGTTATTTTTATTTATATATGATAATTCTTACCTGTCATATATAAGTCTATAATTTATTCCCACCACCCTATAAATGATGAGTATTTAACTATCATATATTGGTCTCTAATATATGACGGTTATTAATAATAATTGTCATATAAATATATAACAATTATTATATTGGGTGCCAAATATGAAGGTTATTTAAAATACTTATCATATATTATTTTGGGATTTTTTTTAATAGAGGCATGTTTTACATAGCCCTTATAACATCATTTATCAATAATTTTCATAATCAGTATTTTTGCATCTCTAAATTACAATAATATTTAACTAGGATAGAAATCAATAATAATTCTTTGATCTAATAAAAAAATAGAAACTAAACATTCCATATTTAAAATAATAAATGTAGTGCTTATCAACACAACAGGCATGTAGAGAACCAACAGAGATTAGAATAATCCCGATTCCTCCTATCTATGTTGCTCATTTTTTGAAAAAAAAAAATAATTCTTGCAAATGGAAAGTACATAATAGAGTCACAATGATGACTAAGCACCTAATTCAACAAATATGCAACTTCATATTGCCCTATCGAGGAAAAATAAAATTTGCTCTTGGGCTACTTTCAAGCTCAATGTCACAAACTAAAACTCAAGAAAGGATAACAAGAAGATGCATAAAAATGGTGGACAGTGTTGAAGAGAATTGTAGACAACTACTACTATCTATGGTTACCTTTTTGGTGGACCATATATTGTAGCAACATTGTGCCCTACATATTGCACCCTCATCTTTGACAGTTTTTAAGAAATAAAGAAGTATATAGATTATATATTGGTTTTAGTAATTGCACTGATAAGCCTGACCTATAACTTATATATCTTACAGTAACATTAGATGAATAAATGATAAAGATGGATTAAGCAAGTGATGAAAGCTTAGGTGTTGTTCTGTGATCATATCAGTTAACTTTTGGATCAATAGAAACTTAGAGTAAGTTTTGGAGAGTGAATGGTTTGTACAAGATATGGTATATAGCAATATATCTATTTGTTTAAAAAGAGGGAGAGAAAGAAAATCAAAGAAGAAAGAAAGCATAAGAATAATCAAAGGAAAGAAAGTCACATGGTGCTCGATCATATTATAACTGGATAACCCTATAGCATTCTATGGGGAAGAAAAACAAATAAGATTCTCTATCATGTTATAACTAGATAACCAACAAAAGATTATATCTAAAAAAATTTACACCCAAGTTCACAAGCCATAATCCAAAAACATAGAATCGTACAAGAGACTAACAATTCATCATCTTCCTTCATTTGGTATAACATTCAAAATCACATAATACAACATGTATATCCATGAAACAATATTATTATTTAAATTACAAAGGCAAGGTTGGTGAGGGAGCCAAATTTTTGATACTTGAGAGAAATACAAATTTGAAGTGGATAAGATAACCCAGACATCAACCTTGTTATAACATGAAATGGCCTTAAGAAATTGCACATCTCCTCCCCTCTTCTCCACTCTTCATGTATTGGGAAAGATGCGAAACTTATATTATGGCAAGATAAGTTGGTAAAAGCATGGGAATATTTTAATGCACTTTCAAACAGTTGAATGCCATCTAGTGGGCATGTCCATTTGCAAGCCCATTAAACTATCAATCCCACCAACCTCTTGAACATATTTTTTGAAACCAATCATCCTTGCCTCTAACCCTCTCATACACTTAATGCTTTCCCTAATTTTGTTTAAAGTAGTACTTGTTACTTTCAAACCCTTTTGAACAATTAGGTTTGAAATATAGGCACAATATCTTATATGAAAAAATTTCTCTTTACAAATCAAGCTTGCACTATCTTGCAAAGCTAGCCTCTCTTTCAATCTCTCCTGCATATTATCATTTGCAAAGGCATTGTCTAAAGTGATAGAAAATACTTTCTTGTCAATCCCCTATTCCACCAAACAATTATATACTTTTCTAACCAATTCTACCCTGGAATGTGGGGGTTCCATATGACAAAAAAAAGTATGTTACTATTTAAAATCCAATTTTCATTAACAAAATGAGCAGTCAGACATAAATAACTTTCAGAGGTTACAATAGTCTAACAATTTCTATCTTAATGCTTCTTTGTGCCCCTAATATATTTTCATGACATCACTTACTGCTGTTTTGCTATAAATGCACTTTACACTAGGATTCAAGACTGTAAAATAGTGCCTAAACCATTTATATTCAACAATGGAATAAAGCAAATCATGTTCAATTCTCATCATAAACAAAGAATTCCATGCCTCCTTTTCATCCAGTTTCCTAAACCTTAATTTTCCATCTTTATCCATCAACATTAACCCAACATCATGATACTTAACTAGTTGTAGAGCCGTGCTAGATGAGATGTGCCATCAGCTCCAAACCCAACTAAATATTTATTACATCCATTACATCTAGCTTTTTTTTTCCACCAACTATAACTTTTGAAAAAGACTTCCACACATTAGACATGCAAGTTTTGGCTCTTTTATATACAGAAAGCTTCCCTTCTTATTCAAAAGTTGTTCTTTTCCTAAGACAAATAAATTTTTCTTTATTCTTTTTAGATACTAATGCAAATGTAACACTACCCACCTTACACATGCAAATTACCATCCACTTTCCTACTACTAAAACCCACATTTTCACTATCAGTAGAACGTCCAATTTTAATATGTTTCTTTTGACTATAAGATATTTTTTATTGCATATAATTGAGACACACAAAGCAATTAAATATGATCAATTAGCCACTAGACAATAAATTAAAATCAAACAATAGAACATGACCTTGAATTTTTGAAAAGGCATAAACAAAACAATTAAATTTAGAAAGCCAAAAAATGGAAGACACAAGATAAGAAACCATTTATAAATGCAAAATGATGATTAGGAGCTATGTTATTCTATACTGAAACTATATATGAGAGTAACAGGATTTCAAAATTTAGAATATGGTAGGCTCTTGTAACATTAACTTCCCTATCAAACTGGAAAGTTTTGCAAGTTCACATGCTGCCTTTTCAAGTGTAAGCCATATGTTTTCATAGAATTTTATTGTTTAATTAAATTATATCAAAGTTCTTGGACTCTAGTGATCTGATTATA